TGTTCTTTAGGTTGAAGGTCATTCGTTTAAATTTGAGTTTTTATCAGAAAGTTATTGAACACAATTGGTTGTCATGCAATTGGTTTATTTTCAATTAACGAAAGGTGCTTTATTATGGGTGTTTCATATGAACAGCAGTGCTCAGCTGCAACTGCAGCCCAACATACATTTTTTGGTGAAATTAGACAATGCACTTGCATTTGTAGTACAATACATGTGTATTTGGTTCAATTGCCAAACAATCTTCAGACTTATTCTATTAAAACGTTGCTAAAATGGAAATCCATGTTCATTATTTTACATTAAAAATGTTATTCTTTAAATAATATTTTACACTTCTTTCTCGAGATATTATTGTTACAAGTGTAAGGACAGTACGGGGGGGGGATGTAAGGACAGTACGACTCCGTGGCCGTGGTTACTAATTAACGTGATGGGAACAGACAGGGTCATGTAAGGGTAATATGGGACCTAAGTGGTCGTTAATCATGATTGATGCGATGACAGGGTCGCGTGAGGATAAGCACGGGACATAAATGGTCATAAATAGTAATTGGGACAGAGACAGACAGGGCCAGGTGCTGTGAGAGAGTGTTTGGGGAAAAGGGGCGTGGCCGGGTCGTTAGGGGGATAAAAGCCGGCGTGGAACAGGGCTCTGGGCTGCTGTTGTGGGGGAACCAAGGAGCTGTCGTCGCCGTCGTCATCTTGGAGCGGGTTGTCTTCATCATCTTTGGATTGGGCACATTGTAGTCTTGAAAGGCTAGAGTTATATTGCCTTCGTGACGACTACGCGTCCACTCCTGTGTAGCCAGCCAACTACGCAGGGAGTGTAGTGTAGTCACTGAAGTTACCCAGGTGTATATAGCCACTCGTGGTTAGCCGTGAAGTTATCAGTGAGTCGGTGGACTTCATTCACAATAAATATACATATAACTGAACAAGACGGTGTCTGTGAGAGCTACATTACACAAGTATAAAATACATTTTTAACGTTCATGTAAGATTAATTTTTAATTGTATGTTCAACAACATGTATAACACAGCCCTTTATCAGACATTAAGTCTGTGGCTAGTAAAGGTTATTGTATAATCGAATGTGTCTTAATTGAAATTCTCAACTATAAACATGTATTATACAAAGATAAGTGTGGAATGAGGATACAAATACCAAATTCATTGGAGAACAGAGCCATTACCTGTAATGTTCCAACCCCTGGAGCCCATGGGGCTTGTGATAGCCCCTGTGGAGATCAATCTGCTCTGAGCATTGAGCCACCCATTTCCTGCCATTGTGTTGGGGTCATTTCCAGCTGTTTGTATTAGTTACAACGTAATGCGCCAGGGAGCTTACGTGCCTGCTTTAATTATATCTCAGCAGCAGATACAAGCATTTACAAGAATAAGACACCATTTACTTAGATAATGTAAATGCAGCTTTTAGTTTTAGATTAATACAGTTGTAATGCAATCGATATGACAACATCAATTATGTCCAGTTTAATATCTCCATGGGCATCAAGGTTCTGTATTGGGATGTTTGTCCGTTTCTATGAACGAGTGGCATGTGGGAGAAAACTGGAGTACCCAAATAAAACTCGCACAAACATAGGAGGGGTGACACTCAAAGCTACACACAGACAGATTCAAGAATCTGACGCTGTACAGCTGTTTCCTGGCTGCCTTGAGGCACAGCTGGATTGGGAGCTGCACATATTTTTACTTGCGATCCGCCATCTTTTCCAAGTGCTAGATTACAGGCATGCACTACCACGCTGCCCAAATTAATGAGATAGGGGAATTTATGTGAGTCTCATTCGTGAATCATTGTAAATAATGGGACACAACAAGTCTGGATCACATCAATCCAAGGAACATTTGGATGTACTAAATGCCATCGCTACTATTTTCAAAGCAATGGTCATCAGTTTGTATTAATGCTGTTTCCTTTGTAGTACTGTATATCACGAGGTTCAGTTGAAAAAAAGATAAAATGCTTACAAAATATTTTACATAAGTTGTATCAATCAATATTCATCTTCTTAGAGTGTCATTAATCACCAGACGAATGACAGAAATTGCGACGTTATCCTGAAGAGCCTCACTGATTGTGAAGGCTCTTTTAGGAGGGTCCTGTATTTGGATGTTTGTCCGGTTCCTTTGAAGGAGTGTTTTGCTCCTGGGAGGAAACCAGAGTGCCCAGAGTGTTATCACCATGCACACGAGGGTGTTGAACACACAAACATGTTCGAAAACTCACGAGTATAGCTGATCCATCAATTTGTGCATTGAAAGCATTGGATTAACTTAAGAACCTACTTAATTATCCAGGAGAACCACACTGACTTGTAGGGTGCTTTTTCAGGAGAGTCCTGCGTAGGGTTTTATGCTTAGATGTTTTCAGCTAATTAATATGTTTGTATACATTTGGGAGGAAACCAGAGCACCCGGATAAAACCCATGCCCGCAAGGGGGCAACACTCCCTCGCCATACAGGTGGAAACAGATGGGGATTAATTAACTTGCTATATACTGCTCTCTGGCGAGCCAGGGTATAGCACCTCGATGTCCACGGGAAGGGAGTTTCACAACATCTGTGTTATCCAGAAACCCTCACCTCCACAGTGCTGGATTACAGACGTATGTGTCGCGACCACTGCCCCGATTACGGGCATGTGCCGCCAGTAGTCTTTCTTAATGTTTTCCTACTTTTGGATATTTAAATCAGCCACAATGTGCACAATGTTTGCCTCACACTTGTAAGCGGTATGTGAAAGGAGTTGATGCTGATTATTGGCACACTCGGAGTTTGGGGAGAAACAGAGAGAGCAAGCCTGTGTCACTCTGGTCAACTTACTTTCAAACATACAGCATGGCCATTTGTTCCAAAATCACAGGGTGTCCTTTGTGTGAGAACATTGCATGACATATAAAATACATTTATGCTGTATGTGGGTGGTTGCCCCAATTTGATAAACATAATGCTTTAGCTACACAGTACCACAAAAGGTTTGGGATTTTAAGCCTATATGGATATATTACTACATGCATACACGATGATGTGAGTGCCAACCTAATTTAATATATTGCTTCCATATGTCCTTGTGTCTTTGTCCAGAAGCAGCATCTGTATTTTGCAGCGTGCATGTAGCTGGGCGTTTGTAGAGGTTTTTTGTACATGTTGAAAATACATTTGATAAATACACCTTAAAATTAATACACAAAGTTCTGTTGGGAATATGAATAGAGGATAACAGCCTTTTTTAAAATTTACGGGAGGAATTTCCATCTGGTACAGATACAATGGGAGGCTGATCGATGCCCGTGTGAGGTCAAGGGATGGCTCCCTATTGCTCAACCATGTTATGTATGCCGATGATCTGGTAATTGCTGCTCACTCAGAGGAGTTGGAGGCACTGCTGCTGAACCTGGAGCTTGCCACTAAGAGCTGGGGCCTTACCATCAGCCCCACAAAAACTAAGCACCTGCCTGGGTATTTTGTACTATCGAAACTCCACCCCACAACTCTCAATTGGCAGTTGTGGAGAGAGTGGAGAGTTTCCCATACTTGGGCAGTATGCTCATGACCGGCTCCCGTTTCACTCCGAATCAGTCGAGCTGCATTATCTTTTCATCGGTTGCGTAACGCGGTGTGGAAGCTGCCTGGTCTGTCGCTCCGGAGGAAGATTCAGGTCTTCTCATTTCCTCCCTTCTCTATGCTTGCAAAACGTGGACCCCCCCTAATGGAACATCTTCGCTGTTTAGAAATATTTAGGCTGGCCTGCCTACGATCCAGCCTGGGTTTAACCAGGCTGAATTGTGTGAGGAACTCACAAATCCTTGAAAGATCTGGGCAAAGTCCCATCGGTGAGCTCCTCCGGCAGGCAAGGCTGCGTTGGCAGGGTCATGTAGGCCGCAAATCCAGCCACCGCATTCCTAAACAGCTTTGGTTCGGCCAGATCAAGGGGGCTAAACGGGCACAGCACGGGCTAGAGAAGAGATGGAGTGATGTGGTACAGGAGGATGTGGAGCTGAGTGGACTTGCCGATGACTGGTACCATTGGTGTCAAGATCGGCCTCTGTGGAGGAGGCTCGTGAAGGACGCTACTGGGCAGTTGGAGGCAGTCGCCCTGCAACAACAATGGAGGGGGGAGGAGCGTCGCTCACAACAATGAGCGGAGCGCCGGGTGGTTAAAGCACAGCAAGTTGGCACAGTAGGGGGCACAGGTGGTGCATCAGTCAGTCATCTCAGTCAGTCGACCCGTGGCACCTGGTTCTGCCCCGTGACCGCCTGCCAGTGGGTGTTTGACGCTTGACGTGGCCTCAACGTGCACATAGCCTGGCACAAGCGTCGTAGTGACGTCACCGCCACTTAGTGGCGAATGGCGGGTGTTGTTATGTTAAAGTGTATACTTCGTTCATGTGAAGCACTTGAGCCACAGTCAACTTCCTCGATAATTTGACTGACTTTTAAGATGCACATCATAGTGGTTTGCTACATATGTATCTGCTGCAATTTAGCACAATTGAGAGTTGTTATTAAGCCTTGGGAAAAGGATAACACTACTCTAAGAATTTGAAGAATTTTAATTGCCCTCAATAAAAGCATAAATGGCTATTCATGGTCCCTATTTTGTTATACTAATTATATCAATGTAGAAATTGAATACAAATGTTAAATCTGTTTAGTGTACTGTACAAATTTGCAGTTCTTAATTTTCTGTGGAATTCTCATTATTGTGACACACTCAAGTAATGAATGTCTGCCATTTGCAGGCAACATTCACAAGAGCTACTTGGTGCAATAAAAAATTGTGCTTTCATTATTCACTTGTATTATAGGTCACTATGACCCACAAAATGGACAAATCTGTTCATCGACCACGTGTGTAAACACCCATTTAATTACGCTCGCGCAAATTATCACGCCATTTAGGGGGTAATGCTGTACGTATGATAAATCTGATGTGCACACTAACCATTGCAAATCTCACCCTTTAAAGACAAGCGAGTGGAGCAAGTATGGCGATCGTCTACTTCAAGCTGTGGAGCAAGGAGATGCTGAGAAGGTTGCCCTGCTACTCAGCAAAAAGGGCATCTCTGCCACCAGGCCTGATGGAGAGGGGAGGACTGCGTGAGTTATTCAATGTAGCACTCCCACGATTCACTGAGCCATCCCTCCCTCGGTCTTCCATATGGAATTTAAAATCGAATTTATCAAGTTTATAACTGGATGTTGAGTTTGGAAAGCAATTCGATGCCACCTGGGGTCACCTGATCGATTCCATGTATGCCTGCTGTAATCATGTGTTTTTATTAATTTTTGGTGATGCGAGTGATGGATTGCACTTCGCCGCATTCACAGTAAAGAAACTCTTTATTTCCCCACTTGTGAATTTTCAAATGGATAAGTATGGTCCAGTGTATTTGAGATAATACAAAAACCGGATGGTTCTTTTAGTGCAAGTGATTCCCAACCTTTTTGGATCCAGAATCATAACCTTTATCAAAATCTCTATGAAGCTCTTTTTCACAGATGTCGAGTAGGATCGCACAGTAAAAGATATAAAGTTCCACACACACCATCGGTCCTAGGTCTGCAAGTTGAGAACTAGTGCTTTAGTGAATCTTTCCTGTTCTATGAGGAGCCATAACATAAGCTGGTCGCAGCTATTCATGATCTCTTACTTTTTAATGATGCTGTCCTCCTATTCTAGAGAACACGTTGTGACGATGTCACTTCCTAGCTTCTGCATTACATTGCACAAAGTCACAGATTTTCTTTGCATTTTAATCGAGGTCAACCAGTGACTAGATCATCACGAGCTCATCACCGGTCCAAGTGTTATAATATGATTCCTTTATTTAACTTCTGTTGGAAATTAATGGACTATAAAAAGTATCTGAAGGAAAACAAAAGTAGTGAGATGAACTGCTGTCAGTGCTCAAGTAACCCACATCTTAAATTTTTGTATACACAATCACTTCATAGCTATAGTTAACCAATTAACTATTACAAAATAGAAAATAAAAAATTATGCTAGTTGGTTTAAGAGACGTAATATTAATTATAATTCCAACAAATAAACATTCATTTGGTTGTTTGGCCCAACTGGAGTGATGAAACGTCTGTGACACTGAACTGATTTAATTTGTTTTAAAGGCCCATGCTGACAGCTAATAAAACAGTACAAATACACAGACACGAAGCATTTACACAGCCCATGCGGTTTGTAGCAGTATGCAGGATGGATGGATTGCTTTTGGCTTCCTGTTCCACAGAGAGTGCACGATACACAATTATCTCTCAAATACAAATAAGCTCTAAAGTTCAAAGTCATTTGAAGGTACTTTAAAATGTCACAAGAGAATGTTAACTCGCTGTGCTTTAACTTTGTAGACATAAAAAGCTTAGATCAACCTTGGATTTATATAAGATCTATGTTGTAGATGCTTGTCTTGTTCTAATTAATTAGAGACAAAACAACTTTCAACTGGGGCGATTAAGATGGCCTGAATTCCATCCTGAGCAATCTTCTTCAACGACTTTGGAATGAGTAGGAATGGGTGGAAGGAGTAACCTAGTCCTCCCGTCCAACAATCGGACATCACGTCCGTGACCACAGCTCCGTGCTGGCGGTAACTTTTGCATTTTTTTGGATGCGAACCATTTAATCTGGGGAATCACGAACCTCCTGGTTACCACCAGAAGTAACCACTTGCTCGGCTCCAGGGATTCTTGACTCAACCAATCCACGGTCTGGTTGTCAGTCTCGGGCGAGAGATGACAAGCCAGTAACCGCCACTCCCTTGCCATTTCAAGCTCGGAATGAGCGAGGTGGCCTCTTACGGCACCGATGCCGCCAATATGCTTGTCATTTTGCCGCCAAATACACAACCTCTGTGCTCTCGTGGAAGCGCGCAACAGTGAACACATTCCTCCGAATGTGTTCACATTCCTCCAAATATGTTTAAGGTCGAGGCAGTGCAAACACTGTGAATGTGGATCGATGGCCTTATTATTAGGCCTGCAATCTTGGTATTCTTTTACGTGCATGGCCATGTTCTAATGAAAAACCCGCCACGCTAAAATACTGCACTCTCCTGCATGCAGCCATTAAAATGTAATCAAAGCGTCGTTGCACACTGATGGAGATATTACAAAACTTCTTCTGAGATTCTAATTTATTTTATTTTATCCACACTAGGGGATGCTACACTTTCCCATACACCCTGCAGCACAGAAAAAGGATATATAAACGACTGCATGGCAGCTTGAGAAGTCAACCGAATATATTTAACTGTTAGAGCAGCAATTTAGTCAAATTAAATGTAAAAAAAAGTAGTTGAATGTGACGGTTTTTGTGTGTGTCGGTTTTAATGACCATGCTGAGCTTGATCAGCTGGCCACACTTGTGAACCCATATTAATCATGGGCAGGGGTCGGCCACCTGCATCTCCGGAGCCGCATACGGCTCTTTAAGGACTGCTTTGTGACGTTATTTATTAAGGAACGTCTCGCATTCACATGCATTCAGGCTCTTTAAATGTTGATTTTTTTTTTTAAGAATTTGACAAAAATGGCTTTTTTTGGTAATTTCGTTGCCGACCAATGATCATTGGCGACTACTCTGATTAAAATCCAGGATCTTAGCACGACCAGCTCAGTGCTCTGACCCCTCAACCTCCCATCCACCCTTCACTCATTTGAAATCTAAATCAATTCCAAGAACAATTCTATGAATTGAATTATGGAAATATAAAGTGCAGTTAGAATTCCATGAATTAATTACTTTCATCCCTTTGTCGATCTTATTCTGTAGCCTTTCCCACACTCCACCAGTCACGGGGGTTGTTTGACCATACTTCACCAACAAAACGAATTATGTAATTATTGCAATATAAAAATCCAATTTGCAATAATCTTCCTGCAATAAGTGAAAGGATATAATATTAATTGTGTAAAAGGACTTTCATTTCGATGGATTGCACAGTCCTTGTCTCTTTGACCTTGAGCCTGAACACGCTTGTTCATGTTAGAGAAGGTACCTTTGTTCATGCTCCTAAGTTATGTATTCGTTCAGAATTTGAAGAGTAACTTCTAACCCCCTAGGCTGATGCCCACGGCACTAACATTACAGCTTAAATCCTATTATTTTCACATCACACTATCATATGATTTTCGTCAATGATTAAATTATGTCAGGAGGAGAATGGTCACAAGTCATTTGGGCAAGATAACTAACACCTCCTCCCCAAATTAGTCTCTCCCCTTAAAAAAATACATGTTTTTTTTTTTGCACAACCCACGGCCACATCAGCTTCTGGTAGTCAATCTTATTAGCAAGCATTGGGTTAATAAATAACAACTCTGGACTGGTTTCAACATTCATAACACCGATCAACAAAAAAAAAGCATTTTTTTCTGGCCTGGACTTTTGCAGCTGTTTTAGACTAATTTCAGGGTGCTGATTCCAAATATGATCTCAGATTTGCTCTATCACATCTCATTTTTATTGATTTTACCCGAAATTAACTATGTCACTTATGATTGCAAGTTGTTGCGAGTCAGTGACTGCTTTAGTGTTAAAATATGGTGCTGTATTTTTAGGATAGTGTGTTTATAATATCATTTTATGTAGATATCCAGATTTATTCAATATTTTTCTTCTGCAGTTTTTATTGAAAATGCAATATTTGATATCTCAAAAACCTGATGTGATAGACAAAAACTGATGGCAGATTTGGAATCAGCACCCCAAAATTACCTTATAACCGTTGGAATACATTGTGCCAGAAAAAGTGTGTTGACCAGTGTAATCTCATCAGCAGAGTCAAGCTTCTTTGAACGTATTGCTGGTGAAAATTCAGTGTTTAAAAACAAGCACCCATTCTTTAAAAATGGGTTCTACTTCGCAGCAAAACTGTACAGTATGTGACAGAAAATATTAATTGTAATTGTAGAGAATGTTAATAAAAATATAAATAACGCCTCCTCGCCATATTTGTCACTGCACGTACAATTTTTTTTGTACACAATCCATCAGCTGCACGCTCTGCTGAGACAGCACCTTAGCAGCACTGATTTAAAGTAGGGCATGTCTATTACTTGCTGTTCTCATAGCAACACAACCTTTAAAAGACAGTGAACAAATTAAGTGCAGGATGATTTTTGTGACACTAAGGTGAAAATAGTTGATCTGAACATATTTTAAACAGCCCTGCTGTATGGTAATCACAAATATGGCAATGTGCTTGTGGTAATATTAAGTGTTATATTTGAAATGGTCGATGTTATATACTCTGCCATTAGGTTACAATAAAAAGTTGCATTGTTACAATGTAATAGGAATATAATAGTGGATATTATTTAAGTACATATGCAGGTGCATGTCAATGTTAAAATAACATTGCAGTGTTAAAATAACATTTTAACATTGCCAAATCTACTTCATATATGCCTTTCCACGTAAAAATATAATTTACACATCCCATTGGCCCCACGACAATTTTGACAGATAGTATCTCATCAGCAGTCATGCTTGCTTGAATCAATGCTGGTGAACTGCCATCTATTGTAAGCAAACACTTTTCGTTGAAGGTATGGGTCCAAGTTTGACAGAAAATAAAATAACACGTGAAATTGTAATATGAACTGGTCAAGCAGATACCGTATTGATTAAAATCGCACACCAATTTGCCATAAAAGAGTTGCAGTTACACAGTTAAAGTTTTGTTTTAACATTGATGTCGTCATAATAGTGATTATGTATGGCCCCATAAGCTAAAGTAAACATTTCCATATCAAAGAAAGCAAATGGACATGTACGTATGTGTGTTGAACCTCTTTCACACCATACGTAGACAACCGTGCTAATCGGAGGTGCGGGGGAAGGACAACAAACTAAACACAAAAAGCAATTCTACAACACATTCCTGCGGAGAGAGCTGGTAGGAACGTTGGGTTGCTCGGTCAATGGCCAGAGTCAACGGCGGCGTGGTGTATTCCGCAAATATGCCCGACTGTGAGGGCGGGCACAAGCCGGCGTGAGTAGGTTAAACGTTGAGTTTTATAAGGGCACCACGGGGTGATCAGTCCCTCCCCACCAAGCCCCACCCCTCCCACGCGCCACCCAGCCCCACCCTCCCCACCCAGCCCCTCCCCACCCTCCCCTGCCCACCCAGCCCCTCCCTCCCCACTCAGCCCCTCCCTGCACGACGGACGGACACAATAATCCGCTGTGGGCTGGTGTAACCAGGAGGTTCCTACCAGTATAAATGAGTTTTCAATCTAGATTTTAAAGTGCAGCGCTCCAGTGGCTTCCTAATATCAGAAGGAGTAACATTCCAGACGGCCGCAGAAGCACATTTAACAAACATGTCGAGTGTAAATGCTGTAGATAACCTGGTGGATCGGCACCTTCCAATCAGGCACGACAGTTGTGTTTATTATGCGATGTTAACATTGATGAATAAGAATGGTGGGTAGGAATGGTAGATATAAACTGTGGGTAGGAATAACCATTTTCTGCTCAAATACCGTTGACCAAATGACTGTAAAAACAGACATTGTTGCCTTAAATATAGTAATGAGTGTCCGTTGGCAACACAGAAACTACTTTGCCATATTAGCTTGTGTTAATTGACCGTGGCAAGGAGACACATAGTAGCTCAAACAAGAAGAATGAGTTTGTCATCCTCTGAGCATGCCTATATACTGTAGTATAATGCTGCATCTGTTTTTAGTAAATAACATTTCCAACTGACCAAGTGAAACTGTTTACTTAAATTAACAATTAGATTAATACAATTGTGCATGTATAGATTTCTAACATCTTCATTAGTGTTCTTTACTTTTTCATTTTCATGGACAATTTGTGTTCTTTTGAATCCAACGCGTCACGATAAGACCGACACAGCAAGTTGGCACAATATGGGGTACAGGTGGTGCATCAGCCACTCATCTCAGTCAGTCGACAAGTGGCACCTGGTTCTGCCCCGTGACCGCCTGCCAGAGGTGGGACAAAGTCATTGTTATGCAAGTCCAAGTCGAGTCTGAAGTCATCAAATTCATGACTCGAGTCTGACTCGAGTCCAAGTCACATGACTCGAGTCCACACCTCAGAGGTGGGACAAAGTCATTGTTATGCAAGTCCAAGTCGAGTCTGAAGTCATCAAATTCATGACTCGAGTCTGACTCGAGTCCAAGTCACATGACTCGAGTCCACACCTCTGCCGCCTGCCAGCAGGCGTTCGACACTTCACGTGGCCTCAACGTGCACCTAGCCTGGCACAAGCGTCGTGGCTTATAATCTGCTTTTCATGTCACCAGGCTGCACCTGGCTGTCACAAGAGGCAGCTCTGATTGCTTAGACGTCATGCTGTGCCATGGAGCTGATGTTGGCTTACTCGATCCATCTGGTAAGAACATCTTCAGTTGCCACAGTGACTGTAATTTTCATTTATGATTGCTTCGACCAGGAATATGGAGTTATGCCAGTGTTTTAAAACTTTTTTTTCTCAATTACATGATGCTGATGAAAATTGAAAAAAACATTTAAAAATATAAGCCATGACACAAAAAACATTGTGCTTAATGAGGAGTGTTGCAACCCAGTTTAACACGTAAGCTTTCGCGACCAATATTCATAATAAAGGTTTTTGGGTTAGAACTCGTAGGTATAAATATGTCGTAACCCTCCACCACCCGACACAGCCAATTAGTACTTCTACTTCAGCCCACCGGTGTGTTGGAAATTAAATCCACAACATTTACTCTCCAACACACCGGTGGACTGATGTAACTATTGGCATTTTGTTTACGTGACAAATCCCTTACTCATTGGCTGTGTCGGATGGTGGAGGGTTACGACATATTTATACTTACGCGATCTAACCCAAAAACCGTTATTATGAAGTGTTGGAACCGCGTGCAAGTTCTGTGCCCTTTTTTATTTAACATTTAGGATTAAGCGTCCTTCACCTGGCTGCCAAGTACGGTCATACACAGTGTGTCCGCAAGCTTATACAGGTAATAACCGCTGCTTGGGATACACTTTCAGAATGGAAATGGTGATGCAAATAATGCTTGTAAAACATGTTTTGAAATTGTGTATTTTACACATATCTTCACAAGGTATTGCGAAACGGGTGAAAGTGCTTATTAAGACAAAGCGTAATAATGTGAATGCCCACGTTGTTTGTGAATGGTGCGTTTCCATTGTAAATATCAATCAGGGCCTCCATCTCCCCTCACCCCCCCCTCCCTTCCCTCCATGGCCACAGGGAATCAGTTGTAATTTTTGTAAAATAATTGTAAAAAAATTAAAGTATGCCTCAGTTTGCTTATACAACAACATCAACTTAGAATATTTAAACGTGTTCTCAGTTTTTTTTGTAAGCAAAAACATGGCTTTCATGTGGACCTAATGGCAGGATGCCCGAGAGAATAATAATAAAACAAATTAAGGCGCATTTCATTTGTAGTTCCCAACGTGCCATGTATGAAAAGCAGGTAATAAAAACAGAACCAGGGGAAACAGTCAGATCTACAGGGTAAAGGTCAATTTGAAGAGATGGGCTTACAATACATATCTAAATACATATAATGACTATCTAATTACCAAAGGCAAAGCATTTTATGTTCTGGGAGCCGTGCTGGCAAAATCCCAACCACTCCAGGTCTTGACCTCAAAGTAATTAGAAGAAGGTTGTCTGAACATCTCAGGGACCTCTTAAGAGATTATAAATGGATCAGTTCTTGCAAATATTGTGGGGCTAACCCATTCAAAAGTGTATCCTGATTCTTTGTCGTCCCCGTTTATGGTACTAATTGGTTCAGAAGGTGGCCCAGCTAAGGTGGTTAGCTCCCTTAGAAAAGTGAGCCGATGCTGCCCAGAAAATAAAACTAAGGAGAGTACACATGGAACTCGACTCAGCGTTCCGAACCCACTTAATTATTTTTTTACGGTCACTCGATGTTTCTGATTTGTTTGCTCACTGATGAGTGTGTTTTTACACGCTTTTTTATTAACTCACTTTGTCTGTTGTTGTCGTTGTTGTTGTCGTTGTTGTGAGCGGGAATCGAACTCGGGTCGCCGGGTTCGTAGCGCGGCGCGCTAACCACTACACTACAACGCGTTACGCTGCCACATGCGCGGGTCACGTGATATTTGACGTCACAGATCACTTGCCGTGCAAAAAATATAGGCATTATTGAGCCCCCCCCCCCCCCCCCCCCAATTTTTTTTATATTTTTATAATTTTTGCATGGTGTACAGTCTGGAAAGTACCCACATGGCAAATTTCCAGTTTGTTGAAGTACGCTAAACATTTTGAACAGACACACATACTCACAATTTTGGCTTTTAGATACATGGAGATTACTCCAACCTGCTTTCACTTTCCTTCTTATTTCAGAATGTTGATCCCAGTCCGTCTTCAGTTATCACCCGAGGTGTACACATTCTCTTGTGTTTTCCAGTTGTGTTCCTCCAACAGTGATTCTCTTTTTGTGCAGAAAATGTGTTGTGCGTGAAATTGTTTGGCTTGCATGACTACATATTTATATTTAACTTTGCATCCTGATTTAAGCTCTCTAATTATTTCCTGTAGTTAATTTAATTGGGCTGTTGTAATGACTGTTATCAGCAAATCTGACTTGGTTAATGTTTTCTTCATTTTTGTTTACACCTTTTTTTCACCAGTGTAATTTTTTTATGTTTTATGTTAATGTAATTAGCCTTGGTGAGAGCATATCTCCTCATCTGACTCCCTTTTTAAGCATGTTATTACTTTCTTCATGCAATTCTAGGAAAGCTGTACCATCTTAAATTCTTGGTTTGTGAGAGCATGAATGACTGCATTAGCACTGTAATGTTTTTGTTGAGAGATCATTCTGATGAATTAAGCACATTTTCAAACTACTTTTTTCTTATCAAACCCTGCATCTATCATTTTACAATATCATGCTGAGAGTGCATGTATTTTTAATTTGTTTTGACTTTTTTTTTTAATTAGCACAAGTATCCCGTGGAGGCCGTGGATCCGAGTGGTTTGACAGCTCTGCACCATGCAGGTGAGAGTGATTTATCTATTTTACACCTCCATGGTGCGTATATTGAGCTGTGCTTTATCAGGCAGCTTTGTGCTTGCTATGTCGTCTTCGTTTTTTTCTTTATATATTTCAACCCAAAAAAATACTGCACGGCACTTACATTCGCGAGCAGTAGATCAATTATAAACCAGATTTACAAAAGCAGTCTTAAGCACAGGTGTTCAGCTTTAGACAGAAAGCACAATTCCCAACTAATCGCAGCTCAGGATTGGTGTGGTTTGGGATCTTTTGATTTCTGCCCATTCAGCCTCATCTGGGCTTTGTCAACATTACTTTGTCTCAGTTTAAAAAATTCATAACCTTTATTTTTTTGTTAAGTATCCCCCTGCCAGTTTACATACACCAAATTGGGTGTCACCGTGGCGAGATGCTATCTCCCTCACCTGGTATACATATTTTCCTGGTGGTTGCTTAGATTTTTCACTGGGTTCCCTCCACATTTATAATCTAACATTCGTTGAGCTATTATTTGTAGCCAGGCCACTTCTGAAAAGAGCTATATAGCTCAATGGGCCTTACCTGATAAAAATGAAACAAAAATAGATATTTAAGTAATGTGTTTGATGTATTTCGATTTAAAGCTTTCGTGACTGCAGGGATTCATCTTCTTGGTTCTTTCGGTAAAGTCACGTAGAATGGAAATAATAAAATAATAAAAGCTTTCGTGACTGCAGGTCTATCAGACCTGCTCTCCACCTGAGGATGGCTGCTTGCGTTGTGGCCGAAACGTCGTGAGAATTATTTTATTATGTTTTATTTATATTATTTTATTATTTCCATTCTACGTGACTTTACCGAAAGAACCAAGAAGGTGTTTGATGTACATTGTATGAAGCTTTTAAGAGCTTTATTTCATCCTAAAACACATTTGGGAATCGCTTGTGTCATTTTTGTTTTGTCTCCGTAGCGATTTCTGGCATTATACCATGTGTCCAGTTTCTCTGTGATCAAAAGGCCTTTGTGGATGCCAGAGACTTGGTCAGTGACTTGAAAGACCACATATACCCTCATTGTATTTTTCTTTTCATTTAATATTTATTTAAAATGTATTGTTGTGAACACATATTAACTACATGTTACTAAAAAATTTTTTTTTTTACATTGCTGCAATTTGTATTTTTTATATTATGTATACCATTTTTGTTAACGTAATAAATGGATAAATAACCAACATATCTCTTATTACTCAATAAGTGGACAGAAAATGTTCTGGACTGAAAACAAAGTGTGAACATTGGTACCTGTGTCTGTGGGATTGTATTCATAACCTTTATCTCAAATATGCGTTTGACCACCTGGCATGCCTTCAGGAAGGTCATACTGCGTTAGCATTGGCCGGTAGATTGGGACGAGTTGAAGTTTGCAAGCATCTACTGGAGCGAGGAGCAGATGTAAATGCATTCAATAAGGAACTCAAGTAAGCTTTCTCGCCCAGACCACGGCCACACTGTGGTACTTGTGGCATCCAGCCAAATGTTGTCTGCTCTTGACCTTCAATGCACACTTACCGTTCAATATAGAACTGCACACACTAAATATTCAAGCATTGACTTTACTGACATGAATGTTAATGTGGCATCCAAACATTCAATGGTGACCCATTTAACTTCAGTGCTAATTTATTTATTGACAGGTTCGTAAATAATGGAGTTTATGGTGCAAGGGACTTTATTTTGGGGCATAATGTCATAAGCTATAGTTACATTTTTGTGAACGCATAATGTAAATGTATGCGTTCGTGATGTGCTCCCAATTTTTGGGTTAATCTTAAAATTCTAGATTTGAAGCTTTCGTGACTGCAAGGATTCATATTCTTAGGTTTTTTCGGTAAAGTCACGTAGGTAAAACATCAAAATTAATAAAAAATAAAATAAAGATCACGACGTTTCGGAGGCAACACAAGTCTCCGTCATCAGGTGGGACCGTCACAGCCAGATTAGCTGCATCAAGTGATGTCGCCCACCCTTTTGGCCTCGCCCCCCTCCCTCCCGATACGTTCCATTCATTGGCTACCACATTCTGATGAGCTCCCCCCCTCTCCTCCCCCCTCAACTCGCTTTTAAGGGATTACATCTTGAATCATTGCCTCACTTGATGCAGCTAATCTGGCTGTGACGGTTCCACCTGATGACGGAGACTTGTGTTGCCTCCGAAACGTCGTGATCTTTATTTTATTTTATTTTTTATTAATTTTGATGTTTTACCTACGTGACTTTACCGAAAAAACCTAAGAATATTAATCTTAAAAATTCAACAATCATGCGTCGATATGAAATTTCGGATAATCTGAAGGTTTTATTTGTTTAAATAACCTGAAGAAACAACACAAATATGACATAGCTTCTAAGCTTTTCCCACCACAAAGTGGTGTCACATGGCATCAGGTGACATCAGTATTGTTAGCGCAAATACATTTTGCAATAGTACACAATCAAAATGACCCAAGTCTGAAAATCTAAAAAAACATTCTACATATAGGCCGTACACTATTTTTCGTATGGACTTACAATCTTTTGGCCTTGGTTGCTATAGATTAACCATGGTGTCAAGATTTTCTCTAACTAATCTGTATTTTAAAAGGCTTGATTTAGTCTGAATCTGTTTGTCCAAATGCATGAGTTATTTTTTATAATATAAGCTTTAGAAAATGAGTTTATATAACACGTTTGATAAAAAAATGGGACATTTTCACATTAGCAGAGCAACTTTGGTACAACCATTGATCTAAACGTTTTATTTTGTTTATGATGGCGCTTCGTACAATGAAAATTTGGCTACATATATTAGGCCCAGACATGGTACAATGCATTCAAGTACATTATCAACACATTAACATGTTTTAGATTGTAAACACTTTCACAAATCCCATGTAGCTAATTTAATTTAACAATGCATGAGGGTGTTTAAAACGTTTCACCTAAGTTAAGTCTTGCATACACCTTGCCAAATTAACAAAATATAAAATGTACTCATCATTACTTCAGATATTATATTCGCATGGGATGAATGTCAAACCTGTCCCGTGATTCTGTGCATGTCATTGTAATGCAATGTTAGTTGCTGTTATCATTTTGCATTCAGAAAAAGGTATAGTGTGTGTTTCTGTCACAATATAATGAGTTTCAATTACCATTGGCAATTTTCAATCAGCTACAAAGTTTATCGTATGCTTTGCCGAAGCATTGTGCATATATGCCAGAACACTATCGAAGTCAAATGTCATCATCATCTGCACGGGAGAACATTGTAATACGTGAGTAATTGTGTGCAATAAAGAATTTTTTGACAGGACCTTTTGGCACACTTTCACGTAAGCAAACGCATGCCAGTTTTTAATATCCGCACACGTGAAATGAAACACGATCGTTATGTTACATTGTGTGCAGCAGATGTGATTCTATCTATCGCGGAGAATTCGGCCGATTGTTTTGTGGTCCTGACCTTGCGGCTCGTAGAACGGTGCTCATGCTGGCCTGTGAGGGAGGCCACCTGGCCACAGTGGAGTTGCTGCTGAAACATGGAGCCGAGCCAATGGCCGTGGACTCGGTAGGGCACAGCGCCCTGCACTACGCCTGTCGCTCTGGGAACCCTACGATGCTCACGCTTGTGCAGTCCGCCACGCGGATGAGCTCGCATGGTGCGTAGAATGTTGCACTCACGTATGCAATTCAATTTGCACTTTCTAGAATCGTTAGTTGAAAATGTGACAGTCATCGAAATTAGAGTTTCTACAATGCAAGTGTTGCTTACATTGAAACGTGTTCAAAATATAATTTACACGATAATAACTTATTGATTAAAGTCACCTTGACCGGAATCTTACATTTTAAATACATTTGTTTAAATAATATGTTATCATATTCTTGGTATGTATAGGTGCTGTTTGTAAATTTCAAATGAAATTGTCTACCGTGAAAACCATTCGAAGCAATAAATTGGTTGATTGATAGTTGTTTTCCTACATTCCATCTGGAACTACCATTTTTATAAAATAGTAAATGAAAAACGAAATTGAGTTCACAAAGAGACTGTATTCGAATCTTCATAATGTTTTCATACAAAAATGTATAATACATTGCCAAAATGATAATTTGATCCAGTGTATTCATTTTTTTTTTCACTTGCAGCTGCGGAAATAGAGGAGGTAATTGAAAGGAACAAGGTAAGGCTATTGTGTAAAAGTATTGTAATGTTTAAAAACTAGGACATATATTTGGAATTTTACAGGAAATATTTCTTACAAATTTAACGATGGTTCAAAGCAGAGCTTAACCAAAAGCAAAGCTAATGGGCGTTCACCACATTGTGAAATAATTTGAAAGCACTGTCAATCCACTGCTGGATGAAGACCACCTCAATCTGTGTCATTATGAGGATTGTTTTCAGCATACTTGCCATGCTGGTCAATGCAGGTTGATAATAAGGGTGTGACCCAGGACTGGTTCACGTAACAGGACCCTGCGGGGTGGGCTGGTATGAATAGTACTTAGTACCGGTACAGGGATATCGACCGGGTATAGAGGAGTTAAAGAAAAAAATACTGTATTCTAGTGTAACGTTAATTAAAAGTGTTTGTTTTGACAAGAAACGCTGTGAGATTTAAAGACCCCCCAACACCACCCTCAACACCACCCCTCCCACCAGCCCCCCACCACCACCCCCCCCACCACCACCTTCTGCACTAGGCCTCGCGAAGCCTGCCGCACTAGGCCTCGCAAAGCCTGCCGCACTAGGCCTCGCGCCGTGCTTTTCGTGCACAAATAAGGCGATTAAATGTATCTCGTCTCTGTGTTAATAAATGTTTCTTGTCTCTGTGTTAAAAAAACGTGCTGCGTTTCAGTAAAGTATTTTTTTTTCTAATAAACGTGCTGCGTTTCATCTCTGTGTTAATAAGCCTGCCGCACTAGGCCTCGCGAAGCCTGCCGCACTAGGCCTCGCGCCGTGCTTTTCGTGCACAAATAAGGCGATTAAATGTATCTCGTCTCTGTGTTAATAAATGTTTCTTGTCTCTGTGTTAAAAAAACGTGCTGCGTTTCAGTAAAGTAATTTTGAAGCGAAGTTTAAAGTTTTGCCGTGATGCGCCGGAAGCGACGGCCATCTTGTTTAATTCACAGATCGCAGGGGGAGCGGGCAGCCATCTTGTCGGACAGGGTCATGCCAAGTGTTTGCAGTAGGGGGCGATGTTGATACACGTATGGACGGACGGACGGACAGTCGGACGGACGGACGGACACATTAATCTATTGGTGGTCTGGTCCACTTCGTTCCTACCAGTATAACATGCCACTTATGTTAGCCATGGTCAGGAATTGAACTCAGATTGTGAAGTTCACAGTGTAGCAAACTAACCACGGCATCACCCCCCCCCCCCCCCCCATTCCCACATTGTATTGACGAAATATTGAAAAAACATCATTGCATTAAAAACTAGTGTGTTACTCTGTTCAAATATGATATACCAGTTAATGTAGTATCCTAAATCGCACGCTGCACAATAGCCATGGAGGACAACATTAATTATGCAAGGGGACATTACACACATTAACAATGTCTGATGACCTCTTCTTAATGTTTTTGTAGGCTTACAGCACTTTTGGGAAAATGTCAGCATAATGAGCTTGTTGAGTGCCTGATGCAAGCTGGGTCTTTGTTTGAATAATGCAGTTAAGCAAAAACAGATAGAAAAATTAACCTTTTATTTCAGTCACTGGTATCTCAACAAAATATTAATTGAATGTTTTCTTTATTTATATATATTGTATTGATTTGCTTCAGTATGCAAATGAAACGTGGAAAGCAGGTGATGGAGTGCACAATTTAACGTGGTTTCTCGTCTCAGGAAACACCATGACCTCTTAGTGCTTTCCCTCGGTGCAGAAATTATGCTCCTGTAGCATGCCAGGAGGACAGTTAGCATCCAATTGTCTGCAATAATGCCATAAATTGAATTTTGGCTTTGTTAGCACTGCTTAGTTATTGGCATTGTTATGGCAACAAGAACAACTTTACCATCACAAAACATTTTGGGCTCTGGTGAGCAGTGGCATATACTGGTACAATGATGCATGTCGTAACACTTTTCTTTTTAAACATACTCTTTGGGTCTTTCGGAAAAGTCACGTAGATAGGAAAATAATAGATCACGACGTTTCGATCGCAACACAGGCAATCGTCTTCAGGTGAGAGAGAAAGCTACTGAAACAAGGTCTTATGTAGGCCTGAGATGGGAGTCCCCTCAGGGTAAGAAGGCAGGGCTAGAGATGGTTTCCCTGATGCTGTGGAAGTGGCCATTGTATTGTATTGCCTGTGTGGCGTTCGAAACGTCGTGATCTATTATTTTTCTATCTACATGACTTTACCGAAAGACCCAAAGAGAATTAATTACTGCAGTCACAAAAGCTTGAAATCACAGTTTTTAGTTATAGACTACGTGGCAATTGTAGCTACACAAGTGCATGTCATGTCTACATTTTACGTGGATTTTTATTTTATGTTAATTTTAACCGACTTGATGTTTATTGTCATTTGTTTTGGTAAGGTTAGAATGCACTGGAAAGCTATTCCTATATAGACAGTAGACAGTTGGGTTTTTTTCTACACACTTGAAATGCCGTTGTATGAATGCTATGGATAGATTTTTGCATTTAATTTTTGCGCATTGTGAAAATGTTGCATCTGATAAGGATAATGTGTATCCTTTTCCAAAGGCTTGGTCACATCGTTCAGATAGCTTAGAATTGGTTATCTTCAATCCTGGCTTAGCTGTGCACACACACACACCATAATGCTACTGAGGATAATGGGGATCGGATCATTAGTATACGTGTCCCCTTCTCAATTACTGCTCCGTGATGTGGCCTTGCGTTTCCTCCACTCACTACTTCTCTTGTACTTTTGAGCAGGAGCTCACGGCTATGTGTCCATGTCTTGGAAATGAGAAAATATATCAGCTGTGTTGATAATAAGGCATTTAGGGATGAGAATAATCATGTACAAATACATTCCGTATAAATGTATTACAATAAATGGCATTATGACGTCCTTCTAGTCATGTGACTAATTGTAGCCATTGTCCAAAACGGCCGTTGAAGAAGGGCTTTTGTTGTACAAAGTCACCTATTTACGTATTTTTCTTTGACGGCCATGTTATGGACGAATGTGTTTGAGTTTTTTTTGTCAATTGTAGTCAGTGTTTCTAATTACATGCGTAAAATGTGTATCTTCTAAAGCAACGCAATCACACTTAACTAATCTTCTTCGTTATAAATTGCAGAAAATTATTTAATTCAAAGAACCGAGACAATCCACATTCTATGAAATGTACTTTTTTTATGAAATCAAATTAAAACGTGCTCATTAACTGTAACATATTCACTTTGGTGGTAATATGTATGTAGATTATAATCATGGTGACTCATGCATTCATGTTTTATGTAGATTGGTGTACTTATTTAAATATATTGTCTATACATTTTAAAAAGTACAAGAAACATCACCTTTTTCATATTCCATTCGAATAAAAAATCTATTCTTGCAAAATAATAGTGTTAGAGTATATGTTCAGTTCATATAGAATCTACTTTATATGCATGGGCATTTCAGATACAAAATGTAATGTATAGGTATGTATATATTTATATTTATGGTCATATTATTTTGTTATCAATGTGTGCTACTGAAATTGGCCAGACATTGCATACAAAATATATACAATTGTATACATATAGGAATTTAGATTTGCTTTATTTCATTGTCATGGGAGTCATATCCGTGTTTGGGTTCACATTTTGTTTGTAAATTCACCGGGACCATATGTTAGAAGCATGTGGGTAGAAAATAAAATATTTTTTTGGTTTCCAAATCCACCTTTTGAAAATGTACCTCTCATCGTGGATGGCAACTCTGTTATGTTTTTGGGGATATTAACATTTATTGGTTATAAGGTCAAAAGCCTCTGCCAACTCTCATAAAATATTATTGCATGGGTTTTAACAAAAAAATTAATATTTCATTTAGGTGTCTTTTCTTTTAAAGACATCATCAACTGGTAATATAGAGAAACCTTCTAAATAGTATATGCAATACCTTTTATTTCAGAGCAATTTCCATCAACTATACGAAAACAATGCTTCTTATAATCGAGTGCAATAACATTTGTATTACAGGTACTTGAAAAGACAAATGAGGCGTTAACAGAATCGTTGGACAAAATGCAGACGAAACAGCTCACGATGACACGGAGAATTCAAGAACTGGAATGCTTGCTTGAAGAAAGCAGGCATGAAGCGGTGCGTGCAGTTTACTTATCTTTTTTGTGTCGGTGGGTGAGCGCAACATGTTTTACCATGTGCCAGTAAACTGCCTCTATCCCAGCATCCCTCCCTAAGTGGGAGTAAAAGAGTGGCCAGGTTTGGGTTGCTGTTGATGGCTCTGGTCTATGTAAATACGTTAAGATTACTCCTTTGCTGTTTGTACTTTTATGTATGTTGAGGATCTTGACTTAAAGCTTTCGTGACTGCAGGAATTAATATTCTTTGCGTCTTTCGGTAAAGCCACGTAGATAGAAAAAATAATAAAAGTATTGCGACTCTTCGATCGCAACGCAAGCAATCATCATCAGGTGGCTTTACGTGGCTTTACCGAAAGACCCAAACAATACGTTGAGGATCATTTTCAAATATATGTTCTCTGAACCTTCATATTTGTGTTTCCTTGAATTACACAAAATATGTACATTGCAATATGAGTCAAATACACCAACCTGTCAATAAAGTGGCATCGCCTTGCCTAGTAGCACGAATTTCCCCCATTCCTTTATAACTTGCTTTGTAAGTATGTTATAAATATTTCCATTTGACAGTTTTCCTAATTTTATGTCACTATACCCTGTGTCTGTTTAACACGTAGGCTTTCGCGACCAATGTTATTCATAATCAACGATTTTTGGGTTTAGATCGCGTTTATTTATAAATGTGTCGTAACCCTCCACCACCCGACACGGCCAATCAGTAAAAAATGTGTCACGTTGACAAAGACAAATAGTTCACTGCTTTAGCCCACCGGTGTGTTGAAGCAACAACATTCACAATTTGAGTACGACGTTTCGCTGGTAATTACAACCAGCATCATCGGGCAATTCGCCAGAATGGTGAGGCTCTCCTGTGTCTCCCGTTCTTATATAGAGCAGCAGCAGGATGACGTCATCAATAACTCATTAACTCATCAGGTGCAAAGATTCAAGGGGGGAGTGATTGTAATTATATACTAGATTAGTAATCAGGCTATTGTTACGATGCGAGTTGTAGATTAGTAATCATTTGGAATGTGTTTTATTGTGATTATGCTACATTAGTAATCTGTTAGTGGTTGTTTCCCTTATAAGTAATTGTAATGTATCTTATTTAATAATACGCTTCCAGGCCGCACTAAGCCTGTAGCTGTCTGAGCGATTAAAGTTATTTCTGTTTCTCTCAATTTCAATCGATTCTCTAATTAGTCTTTGCCAGTAGTAACTAGTTTTACACAGCACTTCCACGTTGTCAAAATCAATTGAGTGTCCCTGTTGGCATGCATGTTCTGCTACTGCCGACAGTTGTGTTTGTGATAGTTTAATATTTCTCTGGTGTTCTTTAAGTCTTACACTAACGTTACGCCCTGTCTGTCCAATATAGCATCTGCCACATACACAATTAATCCGATATACACCTTCTGTTGATAATTTAGGTAATTCGTCTTTAGTGCACGTTACTAGTTGTTGAATTTTGTGTACTGTACCAAATCTTACTGTAATGTTTTGCTTTTGCAAAACACGGGCTAATTTATCAGTTACTCCTGAGATAAATGGTATTTTTATTGTTTTAATAATCTGATCGCTTTCAGCAGTGTTGCTTTGCGATCGTGATTTGGCTTTTAGTGCTCTGTTAATTTGAGCATTATTGTAGCCATTCTGTCTTAGTGCTTCTTTAACATGTTTAATCTCTCTCACTAGACTTTCACCATCTGACACTGTGGATGACACTTTGGTTGTCTGGCCACATGGTAAAGATACACTTAACGATTTTCTAAATCATCTCAATGCACAAAACCCGGCCATTCAGTTCACCATGGAAATGGAGGTGAATAACACACTCCCGTTCCTGGATATTTTACTTGGGCATGGCCCAAACGGTAAAATAACACACAGCGTTTACAGAAAGCCAACGCACACTGATGCCTATCTGAATGCAGATTCGCATCATCACCCAGCTCAGAAATCCTCTCTTATCAAGACGCTCATACATCGGGCTAAAACAGTGTCAGATGGTGAAAGTCTAGTGAGAGAGATTAACATGTTAAAGAAGCACTAAGACAGAATGGCTACAATAATGCTCAAATTAACAGAGCACTAAAAGCCAAATCACGATCGCAAAGCAACACTGCTGAAAGCGATCAGATTATTAAAACAATAAAAATACCATTTATCTCAGGAGTAACTGATAAATTAGCCCGTGTTTTGCAAAAGCAAAACATTACAGTAAGATTTGGTACAGTACACAAAATTCAACAACTAGTAACGTGCACTAAAGACGAATTACCTAAATTATCAACAGAAGGTGTATATCGGATTAATTGTGTATGTGGCAGATGCTATATTGGACAGACAGGGCGTAACGTTAGTGTAAGACTTAAAGAACACCAGAGAAATATTAAACTATCACAAACACAACTGTCGGCAGTAGCAGAACATGCATGCCAACAGGGACACTCAATTGATTTTGACAACGTGGAAGTGCTGTGTAAAACTAGTTACTACTGGCAAAGACTAATTAGAGAATCGATTGAAATTGAGAGAAACAGAAATAACTTTAATCGCTCAGACAGCTACAGGCTTAGTGCGGCCTGTAAGCGTATTATTAAATAAGATACATTACAATTACTTATAAGGGAAACAACCACTAACAGATTACTAATGTAGCATAATCACAATAAAACACATTCCAAATGATTACTAATCTACAACTCGCATCGTAACAATAGCCTGATTACTAATCTAGTATATAATTACAATCACTCCCCCCTTGAATCTTTGCACCTGATGAGTTAATGAGTTATTGATGACGTCATCCTGCTGCTGCTCTATATAAGAACGGGAGACACAGGAGAGCCTCACCATTCTGGCGAATTGCCCGATGATGCTGGTTGTAATTACCAGCGAAACGTCGTACTCAAATTGTGAATGTTGTTGCTTCAACACACCGGTGGGCTAAAGCAGTGAACTATTTGTCTTTGTCAACGTGACACATTTTTTACTGATTGGCCGTGTCGGGTGGTGGAGGGTTACGACACATTTATAAATAAACGCGATCTAAACCCAAAAATCGTTGATTATGAATACCCTGTGTCTGCTGTTATTTAGACCTGCAACTAAATGATCAGGATGTTTTACGAAGTAGAACAATTCTATTCTCTTCTTGTTCATAGCAATATGTTCAGAAGCTGCTAGCCACGATAATTCTTCAGGAGAGACTCTGTGTAGTTTTGCTATTCCTTCATTAAAGGAGCGCAGACTACGGTGGTTTACTGTATGGTCCATAGTTTTGGTTGCACGGCCATAGTCACATTGTGACTTCTATTTCAATTTCCGTTATGAAGGATGTGTGTTCATTGGCCGGTTGATTTTCTGATGCAGTTGATGGTTTCACCAGTGTCTTTGAAGAATGCCAAAGCCAGGAGGTGTGTTCTTTGTGTTTCGACCGAGGTGGTTTTTCTGGATGTCCTTGTAGCTCCACTCTGTTCCTCGGCATTCTTCCGGATCTGGTTAAGATTGTAGGATGGTAACAGCATGAATCCTGAAGGGGGATGGGGACTTGAGTTGGCAGTGAGGTACCTTTTTGAGGTCTTGGGTGATGGAGCAGTTGTCGTTGGCAAGAAAGCATGTACACTTCTTTGCAGTTTGCATGTCTCTGTGGATATTGGGTGATGGAATTTTCGCAAAAACAGGGAGCCAGGAGAGTAACATACACCTGGCTGTTTATGGTCATATAAGGAATTTGTCTCATGCCGACGACCCTTCCTCAAGTTTCTCTCCGGCTTCATAATATCCTGAGTAGCCCCATTGTGTGTGATGGCTATTGAAGTCACCCACGTCTATAGCTGCGGTGGTGATGGAAATTCTTTGTTTGAGGGCTTATATACATTGATGACAATCACGTGACCAACTGCGATGGTTATTGTTGATGTGTTGTCACTTGTGATCGTAGACTTGAGAACATAGTTATTTAGGCCTTGCCTCATGAAGGTATTGAGGTGACGTGGTAGGTTGCAGCAATAAGGATGTACCCATTTATTTTTTATCACTCACCATCCACGTGCTGTCGTCAACATGCGTCCCCTGTAAGGCGACAACGTCATTGTTGTTCTCCATTAGGTTTATTGCCAGCAGGTCACATTTAGGTGTTGAGAGTCATTCATTATAGCTGGGTAAGTTGGGACACTCACAGACCTCGTCCGATTAGTCTCTGGCCTTTAGAGCGGCCTTTTTGGCATTGATCTCTACTGATCCTATTTGTGTTTGAATGAATTAAGTTCATTCGGCGTAGATGGCGGCATTAGTTGTGTTTAAGGTCACGTGAAAACACGTAACAGGTTGGCCATGAGAAGGCTACCATCTCCCACCTAGTAAAGTCATTAAAGGGTAAGACACAAAGTATAAAATAATTCCAATTAGTCGTGGTGTGGCAACTTATTGAGGAGGTCTCTTCACTGATGGTGCAGTGATTGGTATTGTATTTATTTCAATAAATGTGTGCAGTGTGCCATTAATTGACCATATGAATGTTTTTATCTTCACTTTCCTATTAAGTTAATTATGCATGCATTTTCCTTGCTTCTGAGATATTATCGATATATCTTTTTTAATAAATGTAATTACCTAGCATGATATAAATTGCATACCACATATATTGTTTGTGGTAATATTTTTCTAGTTTACACACAATGAATCATGTAAGAAGCTTTGCTGACGATTCATGCAATTTCAGTGAACATAATCGCTGATTTTTTTTTACAGCTGAATTAATTTTCTTTTCTTTTTTAAAATGCATTTTTGTTCATTAAATAGACTGTCCTTCTATCCGTAGTACTTGAATATACTTTGACTGAGATTTAATGATTGTATTGGAGTAAGACGAACTAATTAAGTGGCACATTTCTCTTCGTAATGCGGTGACCCGAGATTCTTTCAGGAGCATATTAAAGACACTATATCTGTGTTAATACTCGACGTTAATTTGATTCATGGTGCAGCATGCACATTGATGGGTCTCTGTTTCAGGCTAAATGGACTCCACATGGGTCACCTGTTGAGTCAACTGAGTGGGGAGAACACGGCTTGACAGGTGATCTGTCTCTTTCCTGTGAGTCATGCTGTATCATTGCATGTCCAGCTGTACTTTTTTCAACCGCACCTTGTGTGAGACAATCATTCAACTCAGCCCAATGGGGTGTGATCAAGTGAAAGCTAACTTTTTTTCTGGAAGATTTACCGTTGGTGTTTTTTTTTATTTGAAAAAAGGGATGTACAAAAACTCTCCCTGTGCTTGGCAAAATTGTACATTTTGTAACAAAATTTACATTTTGTGATCTCCTCAGGGCACGAAATGGAACAAGAAACTATGACTTGTGATTCAAACTACAAAGCAGTTCAGGAAAGTGATTTAAAAACTCAGCACAATATTGAAACAGAAGAAGGCAAGGTAAAAAAATCAGTGTTCGCTACCGAAAACAGTGGTCTTGTTTATTGTGTAAATGAAAGAGACATTAGTATTTTATCTTAGTGCTGCTACCAATATATGTATGTATCTACATGTACCCTAATGCATATTTTCCCTTTTCTCCGTCATAGATTATGACTGTTGGAGTTCAAAAAAACAGATCTGATATGGATCAAGAGTCCCCTGACACATTTGACATTTCAGAGGCCAATATTCAGAGTTCTTTTTCTACTTGCCAATTGCCTTACCCATCTAATATGCATGGAATTGCCTGCCAATCTGTCGATGAAACTTCAGAAAACATTACATTTGGAAACAGCATCAAAGGACAAAGAACAAATGGGTCGGGCTTGAGTAATCCTGTCCATGTGGCCGATAGTACAAATCAAGAATGTCTCTTTGAAACTGGAGAGCAAAACAAAGAAGATAACTCAATAACAAACTTTCCAGGATTTCTAAATCGTGCAGAAAGTTTGGTTCCGAAAGAGGATGCACCAGTTGATAAAAACATAAACTTGTTGTCACATGAAACAAAGTTTGCAGAGGCAGTAGCTAAAGTAAACACAGAACACATCTCTGACATTCATACTGTGAAAAGACAAGATTCAAGGGCATCACAGCTTCAATTATGTCCAGAAGAAAAATCACCTAACAGGAAGATTAATGGAGGAACAAAAGGGCACAAAGGTGGTGATTTGCTAAGTGAGGACATGGCCAAGGGAGTTGATTGCCACAGCACGGATGTAGCAATTGAAACAAATGAAATGTGTGTTCCAGGCACAAAGACAGATAAACTATCGTCCTATTCCTCTGAGGTTGGAGATGTTCATTGCATGACCAAGGGTAGGAATGAAATTGAAATGGTCTCTTCCGTGGAATATTGTAATATGAAGGCTTCTTTTGATGTGGAGTTGAAGACCCTGACTAAGAAACTGACAATTCTTGCTGATGAACACAGCAAAGTGAATATTGAGCTGAGCCAGATAAAGTGCTCCCATCTAAAGGCACAGCAGGAAAAGAAAGGCCTGCAGGCACAAGTCCTTTCCCTTGAGAAGGAAAAAACAAGGCTTCTGCAGCATCACAGCGAGGCGCAGAAGACTACTCAGGAGCTCAATAAAACCAAACATGAACATCAGCGCGTGTTGCAAAGTAAAGAGACAATGGTTAGTTTAAATCACATGTTTGCACTTCAGCTAATTCTTTACTTGTCACACAATTGATTGGTTTTAATCTGTGTTGCATCAACTGCTTGAATGGTCTGTGCAAATGTCATATTATTCGAAATGCATGTATTTTTAAAGGTTATTTCTAGTGTAAGTTTTATTCTTAAATTGGCACACTACAAAGTACAGTGTAAGGTGGCAGTGTGTGTATATGTTGGTCATCATCCACTCTTATCGTTGAAGCCCATTCAAAGAGCTGAACCTGGGTTGCATTCTAATGAGGTCATTGTTATCCCTATTATTAATATTTACTGATGAAGCAGTGAACAAGTATTTTTCTGACAGTGCACGTACTACATGTGTAGCTTTTTCATCTGCCATTTTATCTCCTGCAACATTAGCATTTTTAAATAAATACTGCCATCTACTAAACCAAGACATCACCATCATCAGCCATGGTCAGTCCATTGCTGAATAAAGGACTTCCCAAACTACCGCCACCACTCTCATGGTCCTGTGACATAATCCATTTGGCACCCACACACAAACTGTGATTCCACCATTCCATCTTCCCTCTGGCCCTATTCTTTGATATGCCCCTTACCTTGCCTGCCTCTCTGTCATTATTCTTCACCACCATCCCATCTTGTGAGGTGCGTCTTGCCCAAGGTCATTTACTTTACTTAACTGTGTGGATGATGTAACTTCTTCATGCGTTTTCTTGGTTCTTTCGGTAAAGTCACGTAGAAGGGAAATAATAAAATAATAAAAATAAAACAATAAAATACAATTCTCACGACGTTTCGGGTACAACGCAAGCAGCCGTCCTCAGGTGAAAAACAGGTCTGTCGGAAAGACAGCCTGTTCTTCACCTGTTCACCTAAGGACGGCTGCTTGCGTTGTGGCCGAAACGTCGTGAGAATTGTATTTTATGATGTTTTATTATTTTATTATTTCCCTTCTACGTGACTTTACCGAAAGAACCAAGAAGATGAATCCCTGCAGTCACGAAAGCTTTAAATCGAAATTTTCTTCATGCGTTATTACATGTGCAACTCTTTTTCTTCATACACTGCAACGTTAACATTTTGAAATGAAATGCTGCCATCTACTGACCAAGCCAGAACTATAATATCTTTGCAGCATGGTCAACACAAATAGGGATCACAGAGGATTGATCGTCCATAAAAAGTCAATAATAATGATGATCATGCCTTTTATTTAACCAAGATAGCCTTGCTGAGTCTCAAGGCTCTTCTTATTTAGGGTGCTGCGTTGGGATGCTTGGCCAATTCTATCAATGGGTGAAACCTGAGTAGCCAAAGAAAACCCACCATACATATGAGGTGGTATGATGTAATTTTGCACAGATTGATTCAGGAATTCACTTTCTCCTGGCCGCATCCTATCCCAGAAGGTTTCAGATTCTCACAAATCTACATTATCCACCAACCCATGCCTCGAAAGTGGTGTTGGATTTTAAACATGTGCAATTACAGTACTACAACTGTTCCAAAGTTATTAAGTGCTTCGAAAATGCACTTATGAGATTGCCTGTGGTGCAGGTGCTGGGTGTACTTTTACATCATGGAACTGTGAGGGAGGGCATGGAACTTGGGGATGTTTTCATATAGCTTTGGATTTATCATGGCTTGTCATGATGAAGAGATTTTTTTTCAAAATCACATTGTGCTACATAAACAAAAATGTATATATGAATTACCTTGAGCTGTAGATTACACTGGTCAGCACACTTTTTCTGGCATAAAGTACTCCAACGGTTTTAAGGTAATTCTGGGGTACTGATTCCAATACTGGCATCAGTTTTTGTCTATCACATCAGGTTTTCAATAAAAACTGCAGAAGAAAAATATTAAATAAATGTGGATATCTACATAAAATGATATTATAAACACTATCCTAAAAATACAGCACCATATTTTAACACGAAAGCAGTCACTGACTCACAACAACTTGCAATCATAAGTGACAGTTAATTTCGGGTAAAATCAATGAAAATGGGGTATGCCGATAGCATAAAAAATTATATAATAGAGCAAATCTGAGATCAGATTTGGAATCAACACCCTGAAATTAGTCTAGAACAGCTGCAAAAGTCCAGGTCAGAAAAGAATGTTTTTTTTGTTGACCAGTGAATTATTTATCAGGGTACATGTCGAGCATGTTTGTTCTTTATATATCCGGTAGATCTGCGATTTACATTTCACGCATAATTCTATGACCTTGCAGATTGAAGACCTTCAGAAAGAGGTTGGTAAACTGAGGCTGGCTCTCAACAGTCTCTCCAAGCTGGCATACACATCAAGTGGGAGCAAGCGAGCAGGCCAGCAGGCAGAGAGCCTACAACAGCAGCTCAAGCTGACCCAACAGCAGCTGGCGGTGAGAGCTTTTGGCATAATAGCTTAATAAAATAAATACTAGAGGTGGCCTGGGTGAATTAGGGGTGAGTTTACTGTGCCAACACCGTTGAGATCTCAGGTTCCTGGGTGCACATCCGGGATCCAGCCAGCGATGATTAAAGCCAGTTCTCAAGTGTAATGAGTAGATCAGAATCAGAATATGTATTTATACTGGAGGAATCCGATGAGCTACGAAGCTATTTTTAACAGATGTTCAGTAGGGGCGGGTAAGAACGTTACAACAGCAAACAATGAAAAAACACGAGAGTGGGGAAAAGTACAAGAAAGGTAAAGAAATTGTGGCCCTAATATCTGGATAAACATTTCACATAGAGAGATTCAGAAGAAGTTCTATATCTATCATGACATGATGCCAATATCACTGTTGAAATAAATCTGGCCAAAATGTAAAATATACTTTATTTAAAGGATAAAACAAGGACAAAAAATTACATCAACAGCAAAGTTGTAAGAATAAATATTTTTGGAAAAGATGCATAATTTTTACAACCATTTATTTGTGTGTGCCTTTGTGGTTACAGTACATTGGTGTAATGCTTGCATTGATCTCAAGGGCTTTAAGAGTAATTTATGCCCAGCCATTAGTCACTTTGTGCTCATTACTATTAGCTGGCCACCTACAGTGCTAATATAATTTGTCATGAAATTGGTAAAACCTTCGCTCTTTGTTGCTTTGGAGCTCAGTCAAATTATGTCTGGTACAAGCTTGATGAAGTAAAAGGTCAATCAATTTGACAATGCCAAAAGGCTATTGTTGCATCCTCTGACTTTATTCTTCAATCACCCAGCTCCCTCTGCTCCGAGGTTCTGTATGACACAATAGACGCTAAGGTTGGCCACCTGAATTACATTGACACCTGTAAGCAAGGCCAATGTGATCATTTGAATTTTTTGTTCAGCAATGTTGCGTACTTAGCAGAAAACCCACGTTAAATTGGCACATTATTCGAATGCATTGGTGGGGTTTTTTTCTTGACGAAACTTAAATGAGTAACGTGTATATTTGTGCATTTTTAGAGTGTACCTTTTCTGTAGATGACAATACGAAATAATTTGCTGGTATTTTTATCATTCAAGTTTTGCATGAATGTATTTTTGTTGTCAGGCGGCAGAGAGGCACCACAAGGATGTCGTGTCTGTCTACCGGATGCACTTACTCAGCGCTGTGCAGGTGAGCATTTTAATGTACAAGAAATACAAACATGCAGTAAAATTATATCATATTAAAATATATATACCAGTGGAATTATTTTGGTGGCAGGGCGGTGCAGTGGTTACACTCGGACATCACAGCAAGAAGGGCCTGGTTTTGATTCCCAATTCGGTCATCATTCTGTATTGAGTTTGTATGTTCTACCATTCTGCATGGGCTTCCTCCAGGTTCTCCTGGTTACTCTCGTTGCTAAAATACCAAAATATTACTAGTATTGGCCAAATAATCCAATGCTGTAAATTTAACAGCAAATTAATCAATTGGCATTAGCAAGACTTGGCAGGACCCTCCTGAAAAACAGTTGAGATTCAGTGAGGTTTTCTTGGGTAAATACAGTAATCCCTCATTTAAAGTGGGTAGATGCATTCCTGAAAAGTGAAAACCGTATAAAGTGAGGTATCACGGTTACTGAATCACATTTGCACTATAAAATCACCCTCAAGTCATCCCATGGCATACCGTATTATACTGATGAGCTGTGCAGCTCAAGAAAGTCATTCATCGCCAAGCACTATAAAGCCGAATCATAACGGTGTGCATTCCTGTGCGAAAAGTGTTCTCTGATAGAAGAAACACGTTATAGTGAAAACGTTGCGTTAATACATGTTAAGCGAGGACTTGCCGTAAGCGTAATAATAATGAATATACAGTGGACAATGTCTGTATGTTGAACTTCTTTTGCACCGTACGTTGCCAACTGTGCTAATCACACAACAAACTAAACACAAAAAGCAGTTCTAAAGAAATTAGTTTTCAATCTAAATTTTTACATCCTGTGTTTCACATACTGTATCCCTAACGCGCGTTAAATTACTCTTCCCATCTGCCAGGGACAGATGGATGTGGAGGTACAAGAGGCACTACGGCAGATTCTCAAGATGCACCGAATCCACAAGTCTGACTCCTCGTGATCAGCAACCATTGCATAGCAACGCAGTACAAGTGTCGGCTTACAGCAGATATTGAAGTCATTTACTAAATGAACTTCTACCAAATATTTTGTATAAAAAAACAACAGTTGTGGCTTATTTTAGATATTGTATTTCTTGAATTTATTTGATATAAAGTTTTTTTTTTATATATGAAATGCTTGGCATTTAAAATACAAATGTCATCTGCTGTTAGAAGCCATACTAAAATTATTACGTTCATTTTGTAATGTTATTGTGATGTGTTGACCATTATAAAATGCACATTAATATAGCTACATGCAACATGATTATACCATAATTCATTTACACTACTAGCAGCATTTTTCAATACAAATTATCACCTGTTATTGCCTGTTATTCTTGCATTGTTAGTGTATCGAGTATCAACAATAGCATGGCAATAAAGACTCACAGCGCTGTATTAAATAACACAGTGTATCCAATTACGTAGTTTGTAACAATCAGAATACATTTCTATTTGCTTTGTCTTTTAAGGGATTACATGCCTATCCAGCATATGGACAGTCGGTTCAAATTACACATTTCCATATTTAAGTTAGTGAGCCATGTGATAGCTTCGGGAGTAGACTGATACTTTCCAGATTTGAAGCTTTCGTGACTGCAAGGATTCATATTCTTAGGTTTTTTCGGTAAAGTCAAGTAGGTAAAAATTTTAAATGAATAAAAGTAAAATATAAATTTTCATTTTTTACCTACGTGACTTTACCGAAAAAACCTAAGAATATGATACTTTCCAGTCCACCAGAGAGAAGAACGTAGAACAAAGTTGTTCACGATGCCGATCAATTCATTGTTTGTTTCGGCTGGCTGGGTCACTGCATTGTGGGTCATCACCTCTTAATGTCCCACTTGAGAAAGAGGCATGAGCAACGACCGGTTGCTGTTTTTAAGCGGTTGATAGAACCACTACAAGTTTCTCAGCAGAACAAAGCCACGCGGAGCAATGGTGGAACGCTCCCCGGTCTTTGCCAGTGGTCATCAGTTGGACCCCTGCTTCATCCAATTGTCTCGCGCAGCGATCCCAGATTGGTTTCTGGGATCTCAGAATAGTTTGTGAAGGGTGAAGCAGCTGGCCTTGGTGTTCCAGGAGGTCTGGTTTAATGTCACAGAACCAGCAGTTGGTTTGCTGCCATGAAAGGACCGTTTTTTTTTCTGACGGAATAATGGATATCTTGAAATCGAATATATAAACGATATCTAAAAAGGCAAAAGTGATGATATTAGGCATGCAATGAGACACTTAACAGGTGGGATGCGTGAAGGCTATCATTTCCTGCCCACTATGAATCTCTACAAGACAAAGAAAAGCTAGGTCATGACCTGTCTCTGTAAGTGATGATAGTTGACAACAGCAGTGATCGACTGCTAGCCAACAGAAGGATCACAAATGAGAGAATGACCCAAAAATAAGATGAAGTGATGACAACACAGCATATGGTATAGGAAGGATTGTGGTAACAACAAAAGGAAATACCATAAGGATGATGGTGATGATTCATTGAGCAGATGATTCAGAAAATGTATAATTATGACCACAATGCTCATTTTCATGATTGCTCGATTGTAATTTCAAGTTATCTATAGAAAGAAAAATGCAGGTTAAATTGAAATAATTAAATATCTATTTTGCCAGGTAATGCCCACTGAGCTATATAGCTCTTTTTCAGAAGTGACTTGACCACGAATGATAGCTCAACAAAGTAGCTTATATACACTAAACACGACCACGGGAAACTCCAAATATACTGTACAGGCATTGGGGCCAGAATCGAACTCCACTACCTTTATACCAGGCGAGGTAGTTAACATCTCACCACCGTGGCTTACAGAGATGACCGCGATACTAAAAAGCAGACAAGGTATTTGTTGTGGAAAAGTTAATTGCAATTACTAAATTATTATGAAACATTTGTATTTGGACATGTTCTGAATTCCCGAAGGATTTTCACAGGGACCGTTTTATGTGGCACAAAATAAAATAAAAAATGTAATACTTCAAAATACATGAGCAAATAATTTACTTTTAAATTAGCATGCAGCGTGACAGCCAAAAATGGTAATTGGAAAATGTTATTTGGAAATCTTATTCTTTGGTAAGCATTAAAATGTGTTTTATGCCATAGCTCACCAGCAGAGGGCATTGTCTTCCTTGTATTGCAGTACCAGGATGAATGCCCTTTGCCCTATCTGCTCAACCGCACACTGTCAAAGCAGCACACAATTCAGGCTTCATATTTTAAGTGCCACTATTTCCTTTTGAATGTACTACATTATACCAGTAAATATTGTAATGCATAATGTTGCATTGTGGGCGGGGTGTGGATGGGGCAGAACTTTTAGAAGGTTGATAAATAAAAATAAAAAATATATAAGTTTATTTGAAGGTATTAAAACACTTTTGTTGTTTTCAAAGTCGACCCTCTAATACAATTTATACGCCACAGATTTTCCACTATTTCAGCTGTTCAGAACTAATTGAGTGGGAGTTTATTTTGACCAAATAATAAGAGCAATTTCCAAACTGCATAATCTTTTGCGGTTGAGGCAGAGTGCCACAGGATTTTGGGCTTGATTTGGTGGGATTAGCCGGTAGGAAACATGGGGAGGAGGACGGATTACCGTCTCTTGCCTTGGGCATGAGCCCCACATAACGGCTTCCCAAAAGGACGCCGCTACCTTTTTGAAAATGGAACTCATCAGCCTTCCTATTTTATACTTTACCTTCAAGGAGGCTAAGCTGCTTTAACAACTGAAAAACATCTAATTTGTTCTTTCGGTAAAGTCACGTAGAAGGGAAATAATAAAATAAAAACATAATAAAATACAATTCTCATGACATTTCGGACACAACGCAAGCAGCCCTCAGGTGAAGACGCTGTCTTTCCGACAGCCCTGTTCTTCACCTGAGGACAGCTGCTTGTGTTGTGGCCGAAACGTCGTGAGAATTGTATTTTATTATGTTTTATTTTTATTATTTTATTATTTCCCTTCTACGTGACTTTACCAAAAGAACCAAGAAGATTAATCCCTGCAGTCACGAAAGCTTTAAATCGAAACTGAAAAACACATAAGTTTTTTTTTAAAGGAGGTGTTATATGCATAAAATAATTGAATAGAGTATTAAAAGGCAAAAAATACCACTGAATTTCATTTTTTTTAAACTTAGTACTTCCTATAATGGAATCTGGTTCCAATTTATACCTGTCATAAACTACAGTTGCATTTATTTTATAAAACGATATTGGCATGAAATGTTAAGTTGCCTCTTCACGTTAAGGTTTAGGTTTTTTCAGGGCTGGCTGGAGAACAGGAATAATATATTTGGTATGTTTGTGCAGCTGCCTAAGTGCAGTACGCAGGGTAGATCTCAGATTATTTGTTCGTCTCTAACAAAAAATTCAATCAAAAAATTATTCTGCAAAAAGCATCTCACACTTAGTGCTGACTGTTATAAGATGAAAAGAAAATCTAGAAATATAATAATGTTGTTCCTATTGTTCACATTTCCTGTTTGAAGTTGCTTTATGGGTATACTGCAAATATATTGAAATACATTGCAATTTTACAGCAAAATACCAAATTTGTATGTCTTAACATTTTTTTAAATTGCATTTTGCTTTTTAGCTTTCGGAATCATTCCAACACAAACATATGACATTGGTGTAAACACGACACGAGAAAGAGCGTATTTATTGCCAGATAAGAAAGAATGACAAAATGTTCTTTCAGAGCTCAAAAAGAAAAACACGGTAATTTATTTCCCTTCATGTATAATGCAACCTGGTTCCTCTATGATCATGATTGTTATTACGACAGTCACTTATTTATTTATATAAGAGGGAAAAAAATCTGCTTGGCTGAGGTTTAGGCCTTTTTCTTGTGCCTTAAACCCTCAATCTGCTTGCCAATGGCTTAATCACGTCCCCTGCACTATTGTCATTGGCTGTGGTTGCAGAGTGCTGCGTATTAAACCCAGGCCCGTCACATTATTTTCTCAGCCGACATGGCCCGAGGGACCCCTTTAATCCTTTCAAAACAAGCAGTGCGCTTGACACACCAGGAACCAGACAAGTAAGCTCGCCTTGCTGAAATGCTATACATTGCTGGCACAGTTCCAAGAAGCATACAAAATGAGTGCGAGCGGTGTCGGCCCACATGGGCAATATTTCACAATAAAAACAATTTTGAGAAGTGCCACTCATTAAAGTTAACATCATTGGCAGCAGAATGTTCCAGAGTGGAGACCTATAGCAGTGGTTTTGAGTATCAAGGAAATGTACGTTGAAAGCAGCCGCCCATAATGGGGCTGTTTGCTGTTCTAAACACTGTGGGTGGCCTTTAAACATTTTATTCCACTCCAGAAAAAACTGCCTAAATACGCCAACTTCTTGTGTTAAAAAATAAATATTGCTTTCTTTTGGTGCGCCATATTTATAAGGATTTTAACGGACAAAACGAATTACTTGGCAAGTATTCGGGGAAGCATTAAGACAATAAGTTATTACTCGAATACTGAAGCATGCAGTGAGTAATAACGTGTGGTGTGTTTTTCATTACGCCTATTACCGAGTAGTGACATTCAAAATTACTTTGGGCATAGCACGTGGGAAAATCTGGTTTCGTATTAGGGAGGGGGAGAGCTTCTTCAGAAAATAAGTCCAAGACAAACAAGCAGACCGTGCCACAAGTTGATTGCAGGTAAACCATAAAAAACAACTGACGAGGCATTCCTCTTATAAATTAAAAAGCCCTGTGGCTCTGAGCCCGTAGCCAACGTCTTGATATTTTTGTCCACGCAAGCCAAACTTTACATGTATTTAAAAAAAAGCTGGAGCACAAGTGTCTATTGCAAATGCCTATTGTAAATCAGATGTATAACGCGACGTTTTAATATAGTATTTCTTGTACATCTTACATTTATTTTATAAGCACACTTTTTAAAGCTTTACAAATTTCACTCTTGGAAATTATCCATAGTGGTCTGAGCGCAGGACTTCACTGATTGGATCTACACAATACTATATTTACTGAATTCTCATAATTACTTTCATCTGCATAAATAATGAACAGAGCTTTGTCAAAACTAGTATTACACACACACTCTGCACATCTGATTGCACGTTCAGCAGCTGACACTTGATCGGTGTAATGCCTGAAATCAACACACAAGAAGCTTAGGGTGCCTTAAGCCGATCAAATCCCGGGTGGCAGATGCGAAGGATTTGTATTATGAAACGGTCACGTGTGTGTGCCAGCGCACTGCAGGCAGCTGCCTTTCAACAAAGGCTTAAAGCGGACGTCTGCAAATTGTATTCAGACCAAGGCGTTCCCAGGTAAATGCTGAATTAGATTTCCATTTGTTCGTTTTCTGCGCTCTTGATACCACGCTCTCATGGTTCGCTGCCGTAATGAGTCATTATTTCAACGCAATATTCACAATTTTTTATTGTAGAAAAAGCTGTTTATGAGAATTATATTGGCAGATAGGCGATTGTTCTTATTGTGCATACATTGCACTTCTTTCGCATCGTACATAGAAAACCCTTCCACAGTGTTGGGTTGTGCAAGGATCAAAGTGTGTAGCAGTCGTGATGAATTCGCATTTACCCTACAATGCCAAATATTTGTGCATTGCACAACAGAACACGGACAATGTATTGAAAACATTACATTGCTCTTCCATTTCCCTAGCCAAATTAATAATGGATTAAGGCTTTCATCCGGGATAGGTATAACTATTATATAAAGCACACACAGTGTGTTGTTGTTCAATGTTGATGAACGCCGACTTGTGATGCCAGTTTGGCTCAGATGCCCTGACATTTGAGCTGCATTAGAACTCTTGACAGCACACCTGAAAGCTGAAACTGCGGAGTGTTAGCAGTGGCTGCAAATGTGATGGATGTACACCGAAGGTTGCATGTACTCTACGAACTGTTACTGCTAACATAACAAAGAATATGCATCCCAATTCAGCAGCAGTATAGAAATGAGTTCAGAGAATGGAGCTCCGTTTTGTGCACATGCCATATGGCTTGACCTACTAAAGTATGCGTAGCACAGAAGTGGAACAATTCAAATGCATTTGTGTGTCTTGTTATTCTAATTTGGTTGGAGTAGGAACAGATTGTATGAAAGCCTCAAGCCAAGAGATAAAATGCTGTAATTCACCACGGCTCTTTTAACTTCCCCTCGACAGGTGCGCCCAAAGAGATCAAAAGGAAATGAGAATGAATTCTATTTTATATTGTATTGCCTCGTGTAAAAGATCATTGGCGGCGCAAACCCCCATTTTCTATTTTGACATGCCTTTCGAAACACCGTGGACGTCAGCCGTAGAATTATGAATCTCCGTCTTGCAGAACAGAGAGACAGATGAGAGTAGAGCGTTGTGAGCAAATTATCGACACGTGTCACAGTTGAGATAAACTATAGCATCCTGTGCAATGAAACTTGCACCATTGTTTGCAATTAAACTTGCACCAACGGTATACAACCAATGCTTTATTATTTAGCGACATTAAAATAAATATTTAGTCGAGTCAATGGGATCAGTTCGTGTGCAAGAGTGAGAGATAGACTGTGCCATAGCAGAACTAATTGTGATGGTGTGGGGAGGCATTCATCCAGCAGTAGACACATGGCTGATGCAATGTAGTGCATACGTCACCCAATCTGCCATAGGCAAACATGAATATGTAGGTGGATCAGAATACTGCCCCAACACCTATTGTGAAGGGTTTAACGGCTGAATCACTGGGGGGTGTAATCCAACCATTGCTCACAAAATGTTCTTTGGGAAGCTTTCTTCTTTGTTTTGGATCTTCTCTTGGAAACTGTATCGGCAGAGATCCCTCTGTTAGATTATGAGTTTCTCCAGTAAAACGTGAACTGTCACTGTAACATATAAGTACAGCTTAATTGTAAATTGCAAATGAGCTGCATTCTGGAAAATTACTGCTAAGATGGTTATTAGATTTGTGACAAGACAACAATAATAATGTCAACTTGTAATTCGCACAGTATTTGTTGGCTCCCAAAGAGAGAAAATAAAATGACTCGGAGGCACAAGGAAGCACAGACAAGCAGAAAAGGCCGCCAGGTGGCGAGCGGGTGCCCAAATCCCTCCCCCCCCCCCAGCTTTGTGGTCCTCTATGTGTTAAGCTGTTATAGGCCAAATAATGACGATGTACACGTGTCAGTAAACCGGAGCATCCGAAAACTCGTGCATGTGAGGGGGCAACTCTCTATCCTGTACAGATGGAACGGGTGGGAGTTTGCATATGCTGTACCGCCTTCTCCTGGCAAGCCAGGGTATTGGCACCTCGACTCCAATGGGAAGAGAGCATGACAACATTTAGTATGATCCATCAACCTTCGCCTCGACATTGGTGCATTTGAGGCGTGCCCCACCACCCCATTGCAAGTACGTTCCTTCACATTTAGAAACGTGCATTTGGAGTATTTGACTGCTAGAAATTCCCACGTGATAAGCCACTTCATTGTGCTATAATTTGTGGCCAGGTCGCTTCTGAAAAATAGCTACATATCCCAGTGGGCCTTACCTGGTCAAATAAAACAAAGTTTAGTTTATATCTTGAAGTGCTGTATATAGTTGGTTTTATGATTCGTAGCTTTTGCAAACCAGTTTCCATAATAGCTTGCTGGGATGGATATTGTAGCAAATAATTATTCGACCAGTTTCCAAGCAACATTTGGTTATAGAGTAATATCGCAATTACTTTAAACTGCCGTATTCTCACGTAAAAATGTCTACTTCGCTTAGACCTTCTCTGTACCACAGATGGCACTATAGACCAGCAAAA